GGGTTGTGCTGGCTTAAAAAACACCCTTCAAAGGCATGTCAAATTATATTTAATTATTACTGAATTTTCTGTTGAACACTTGAACTCGTTAAAAACATTCTTTTTCTAAAAAAGCCTTAATTTGGAAGTTCATTGAAAAAAGAACTTTTGGCTCTGTTTGGATAAACAGCTAAAAACATGTGCTTTTAACTTTTAAGATAAGCACCTTTCAGTAAGCACGTTTTAATAAACTTAAAACAGTTTAAAAGGGTTTGCATTTAACCAATCAGCTTTTCAAAAGCCTTACACACTTTTTATAAGCCTTTCCAAATGCAATACAAAATTAGCATAATTTTTACATTAATTGATAAGCTGAAAATAAGCTCATCGAAACTGGGCCTTTTTCATCTTATCTGGCTTCTAAGACCTTTTTATATGTTTTCAATTTGGCCTAGCTTCTGCACTTTGGAGCAAAATAGCAGAATAAGTTGGGCCAAAGAAGCACTAAAACTATGCTGTAATTTTATCGGATGTCCACATTTGACCATAATGTTTATATTGTTGGAATCAAGGTTTCTTGATCTTATCCTGATGAAATCCTTGTCCAATGTGAATCGTGTGAGACTTCTTGTGCTTTTCCATCTCCTTCATTGTTCTGTTAAATTTCAGGTCATTGCTGGTTCTGATAATGGTTTGCTGAGATTGTATGATATCCAATGTATGACTATGACAACGACAGGCGCATATCAGAGTGCTAGCTCAGTTACTTTTGATGATTTTGACCAGTTAACGTCTGTTCATGCTAATTCAACTGATGAACTGTTTCTTGCAAGTGGATACTCAAAGCATGTTGCCTTGTATGATATAAGCAGTGGAAAACGTTTACAGGTGTTTGATGATATGCATCAAGAACATATCAACGTTGTTAAGTTTTCAAACCACTCCCCGTCCATTTTTGCCACTTCATCGTTTGATCAGGATGTTAAGCTGTGGGATTTGAGACAGAAACCAATCCACCCTTGCTATACTGCTTCAAGCTCTCGCGGGAATGTAATGGTTTGCTTTTCTCCAGATGATCACTATCTTCTAGTTTCAGCTGTTGATAATGAGGTGAACTTTTTATTTAGTGTTTTAAAAAAAAAAAAAATTCCTTTTGACAATTTAATGCATTACTTTGCTTGATGTGGAGTTAACATGTACTTGTAATATGCTTTGAACAATTTCAGTATATACTGCTTTGGATTTTAAGGATAACCGTAAAGAATATAGTTGAACCATGGATTCAACTAATTCATAAATAATACAGAGTCCTGTTAATCAGGCATTGAATTTCAATTATCGCTAAGCATTTGAATTAGATACAAGAGGATGATTAAATAAAACTCTGGATAAGTCATTCTATGGCATTGTGAGGGAAATAGTTATGAATAGTCCATTTACCTATGCCAATTATGTGTTATAAGTACTCTAGCCTTAGAAACAATTGTTTGTTTGAAGGAGTTGTATTAATTGGAAATTATTTAATACACACTGCTAGAATTAAATTCTCATAAGTATCATGTGCCAGCTGTTTTTGAGACTAGAGGATATCATGACAGGTGAAACAACTATTGGCTGTTGATGGAAGGCTTCACTTGGATTTTGGTATTGCTTCAACTGGCAGTTCACAGAATTACACTCGATCTTATTACATGAATGGGAGAGATTATGTTATCAGTGGAAGTTGTGATGAGCATGTCATTCGTATCTGCTGTGCTCAAACGGGGAGGCGACTTAGGGATGTATCGTTGGAGGTACTCTATTATATTGATATAGCATTTGATTTAAAGATCATAGGAAGGGCAGTGTTATGCATGGGATACAATTTATCTTTAACACTGAGTGCACTATCTGATTTTCCTCAGGGAAAAGGTTCAGGAGCATCTATGTTTGTTCAATCTTTGAGGGGTGACCCTTTCAGAGTGAGTTCCCTTTTATTGAATGATGCCTTCACTTTTTCTTTTTTTTTTTTTATGTTAAAATACATGTATGAAAGTGAAGAATTTTTAATTTCATATGATTGTCAAATCATGGACTAAAATAGGCAGATTTTAAATGTGACAACTCTTAAAACTTGGACCAAGATAGGCAAAATTCTTTTGTGAGATGCGTTTCAAGGAGAGACTCATTTGCTAATGCGTTTCACTTGAATTTCTAATTTTGGGCTTAGCGAGTGAGATGTTATAAGCGTTTCTACCAAGTTTAACGCATTAGCTAAATGCGTTTCTACCTGAAATGTGTTATCTAAATGCATTTCTACCTGAAACGTTTTAGCTAAATGTGTTTCTACCTCAGGCGTGTTAGCTAAATGTGTTTCTACCTGAAACGCGTTAGCTAAATGGGTTTCTACCTGAAACGCTTTAGCTAAATGTGTTTCTACCTAAAATAAAATGCATTAGCTAAATGCGTTTCTACCTAAAACGCGTTAGCTAAATGCGTTTCAACCAAAAACGCGCTAGCTAAATGCGTTTCTACATGAAACACGTTAGCTAAATGCGTTTCTACCTGAAACGCGTTAGCTAAATGCGTTTCTACCTGAAACGCATTAGCTAAATAAATGTGTTTCTACCTAGAACACATTTCTACTTGAAACACGTTAGCTAAATGCGTTTCAACCAGAAACACGTTAGCTAAATGCATTTCTACTTGAAACATGTTAGCTAAATGCGTTTGGTAAATGCATCTCGCAAAAGAGTTTTGCTTATTTTTGTCAAAGTTATGAAAGGTGTTTCATCCTCTACATCCAATATCTGCTTGTTTGAGTCAATGACCTCAATCTTACATCCTCCTTCTTACTATTGTGTTGGAGGCTTTGTTCCTATAATTTTTCCAGAAAAGTTGCCAACTTGTTTAACATTACATTCTTTGCAACACCTCCAGGACTTCAACATGAGCTTCTTAGCAGCCTATACGCGTCCAAGTTCAGTTTCAGAAATTGTTAAGGTTAGATAGGCAATTCAATATGTTGGCCACATACTATCTATAAGTTCCTTCTCACATATGCTTATGCCCTGTAATTTGCAGGTGAATCTGTTGGCATCCAATGACCAATATAGAGTTCGTTCACACCATAACCATCCCCATCCATCATTTGGTAGTGGAGGTTAACATAGTTGCTGCAATTCCCATGTACAAACTATATATATCCATATTCCTCATTTGCGCCAAATTATGTCAGAAATGATGTGGCTTGTCATAAATGTTTATCGTATTTATCAACTATTCGATAAAGCTGTGTCGTTTTGGACAAAGTTTGGTGCAAAATAGAGGAAATATATATAGTATTATTGCTTGCTTAGTTGCGCTTGTAAATATAGTAGTATATCATAATAAGAAAATAATGATGTATTGATATTGTCTACCATATCTCAAGCTTTTCTTTTAAACCTTAATTTGCTTTGGTTTCTAATTGTGTTGCCAGTAATTATTCCAAGAGTGGCTGTTATTTCTGGTGCAGATAAGCATTAGTGTCATAACGAATTTCATTCATTTTAGATAAGCTATTGTCACTTTTCACTTGACTATTATCGTTTATCACATTTGAAAAATGAACTTTTTTGGCTGTTACGTTGAATATTTATGCACCAAATATGATAAGATTAATAATTGCAGATCAAATGTGAGAAGATAATAGAATAAACTAAGGGTGCATTTGGTTCAAGCATTTGAATTAATAATGAGAATCAACTTGGTAATTGTAATAAATATAAAATAAATAATTAATGTGTGTATGTGTGTGTGTGTGTGTGTATATATATATTTATATATATATATGTGTGTGTGTGTGTTGGATTCTGGTGCGGACAAAGCTTCATGTGCAGATGCACTGTCAAGCAAGTATATGTATTGCAAGCATTTTCAAATGCACCAGAGTTGACAATCAATGAGAATCTGGTCAGTCATTTATAAAATCCACTAGAGTTGACAATCAATGAGAACCATATAATGCATGGTGCATTTGGACATGCTTTATAATAGTGCATAGATAATTGCTTGACAGTGCATTATGGAATGATAATGGTAATGAGTTTTATAATTTTCTAATGATTTGAGGATAATAAAAGTAGACAATAAATATAAGAATGAGTATCAAATCGCATAGTAAGATATAAAAGTCTCAATAAAAAAACAACCTAAAAGTGGCAGTAACTTGTGAGATGTAAAAACATGGCCAACAATGGTTTTTTGTTTTTGGCAAAGAAGTGCATTGGAGGAAGAGAGAGTAAGAGAGAACGGTTCCATGGCATAACGTCTGTTCAGAGATGGTGAATTGAGCGCTTATGACTAGTAGGATGCCTGAAAATCTCTTACGCTTGTTTATCACTCTCATCCCTAAGAAGAAAGTTTCGGAGACCGCTGCAGACTTCAGGCCGATTTCCCTTCTCGACGTGGCCTTTAAGGTGATTTCTAAGGTCTTGGTTAATCACATGAGGCCCCTTATGACTCAAATTATAGGCTCCCATCAGAATAGTGAAAAAAAAAAAATTTGCCCATGTAAGCACAATTTTTTTTGGCCAAAATACTTGACATTGTTTGCATACTATTGATGGTGCTTTAAGTTCACGTACTCCGATCCAAGCTTAGTAACATTATTAGCAATTTTCCAAACATTGACCAACTTTTAGTTTTGTACTATGATCGTTTGTGAATTATTGATTGTATCATAAAAGACGCTTACCCAATACACAGATAACTTAATCCTCGCGAGAAGTATGTGTCTTTGTAGAGAGAAAAAAGGAAAGAAAAAGATGTGAAGACATAAATAAAAAAAAGTCAATATATAACACTTTCAAGTAATTGTCTTTTTTTTGTTCTCTCTAGTAATTAAAAATTCACATTCTAGATTTAATTAACAACTATTTTTATGTGAATGAAGCTCCATCAAAAGATAGCTTGAGCCAAGCTAAACACCACATACAAACTAAAAGTTTGGAAAATCCGAAGAAGTGTAAGATGAGAAGCAGCATGATATGCAGCAGGGAGATGCAGACAATTAATACAATTATCCAATCCGGACTAAACAAAACTAATTTATTTTACATCTGCTCTATCAGCATACATATATATATATACCAAAGGAGCAGAATCACAATGACACTTGAAAAACTACAAGCAACAAACCATTTCGATCTAATAAGACTCACAAACTTAAAGCTGACAACATAGTGTACGTACGTAGTGACACAGCGATCGATACGTTGTTATATAATAATCCCATGCATGCATATATCCACCACCACCATTCTCTCTCTCTCAATCTCTCATCCTACACAGCTTACAAACATATATGGGTTTTGTTGCTCATCCATGCAGCTGCTGCTTGTTCCCTCTGGTCTTTGCCAGCACCCTCTTCCCGTAGGGATGGCTGTGCAAGTAGTTATAATGCATGTTTATGAGATTAACCATTGCATGCCGGGTAGATCCCTGTACATACAAAACAACAAAATATTCAATAATATATTATGATGACCTAATTTTATACTCTCCTTTCATCCTATTTTATGTGTCACTGTCTATGCATGCTCATTTTAACCTGTTTTGATGGAGCATGTTCAAGGTTAACCTTGTCTATAAAAAGTAAAATTCTCTTCTCCAAGTCTTTATTCTTCCACCTGACAGGATATGGATAATTAGGGTGACTCTCGCCTCAGTAGGTGGGTCTCAGTAGGTGGGAGGACACGGTACCCAAGGAGCCCACCACTCAAAAGCAAAATTATCTCTCTTTACGACCCCACACCCCCAGATATAATGGATAATGGATAGATAAACCACAGTGACCCATGACCTATAATTAGGTGGGAAGACATGGTGTTCAAGGAGTTCACCACTTAGGGTCTATTTTGGAAGCATGTTCAAGGTTAACCTAGCCCCTAGCAAAGGCGGCAAAATTTCCTGGCCCCATAGTTCTCGCTCACATCCCAATTTGAGTAAATCACGATAATTTAGTCCATTAAGTGTGAGGAGGATCAGTATTCAGGATTAACCTGTTTTAGGAGCACAGGTTCTTTAGGTGTGTCCGGTTTATTTAAAATTTAATTTAATTTTTTTTTTTAAAGAAAGTGATAAAATGGGAGAAGATGGGGTGTATATTAACCTTGCATATTGCGAGTGCAGATTGGGCAACATAGTTGCCATATTGATCCTGAAGAAGCATCAAGAAATTTGGGCTGGATATGATCTCCTCCACCACCTGCATTGCCTGTTCATTCTCCGACTCTTTCAAACACTTCTCCACCACATTGCTCCCGTATTTGTTCATCGACAACGAAACAAAGCTCCCTTGCAGCTGTTTCAAGATCTCCGACGTCACATGTGGTATCTTCAGTCCCAGAATGTTCTGCACAACATAATTCCTGAAACAACGCCACAAATTCATCCATAGATTCAAGAACAACCCACATTTCAACCAACCAACCGACCCCTTAGTTTCTTCCATATATAACACATGAAAAAGCACTGCACATACCCATAAGGATGTTCAGATAGGACTATGGAATTTGCAGTGATTTCAGCCACGAGGCGCTCTCGCGATTGCCCATCTGCGTTTTCAACACAGTGTTGAAGAACACAACACCCACTCTTGTCCGTTGCAATGTCCAGGCAGTTGTCTGCTATCACACTCAGAATTGGCTGCAAACAAACCCAAAATATGATGATAATTACAATGAAACTGCGTATATATGTTCATAACATCATATGTTGGGGCAACTCATCAAGTCTGTGCCCGGTCATGATAACCACAAGGTTAAAGTTCAATCTCTTAGTTTGAACCAATCAATTATGACAGTCTAATCTGCTTATAAGATCCCTCACATCCAATGAGAAACCTTATCAACTATAAACAACTTAACCTGATGTACTTGCCGGTTAAGTCACAAGGCAATAGTAACTAGGGTTTCCCCATGTGTAAAGTAAAGTTTTTTTTTTTTTTTCATGTGGGCTTCATTACAAGCCTCTGGGTTGGATTTTGAGTATTGCGATGGGAGTAGAGAAGAGAGTATATGTAGTATTTTTCATTTGTTATACCTTCTTCTCTTCATCGGAGAAGAACTTGACACAGTGTTGAATCACATGATGTCCATTGACGCTTTTTGTCAAGGTTACTGTGATGCGCCTTAGAACTGAGACAACCAAAGCTCTTTGCTCCATTGTTGTAAGGTGCTGCAGCATTGTCTGCATCGCCCTCGTCCTTCCATCCACAAAAACCAAATCTCAAAAATGATAAAATACGAGAATTTTTTTTTTTTTTTTTTAAATTATACTCGATACAATAATCATGTAATGTATGATTTACGAGGTTTAATTTACCCATGCATGTCAAGACAGACGGCGACGAGTTGACGATCGTCTCTGACGGTGGAGACGAGTAATTCAGACATTTGTGGGGCGTTGCAGACCTGGAAAAGCTTCTGAATCAGATAGTTCCCGGACTGATCGATCATTAATTCACGGACGCAATTCTTAACCTCGGAGAAGATCATCTCCACTTCCTCGGGTTTACCTTCCTCCAGCTTCTGCTGCAAGAATCGGCAGCTTTGCTGGTCCTTGATCACCAGCAAAACCTTGCCTCTCAGGTCTTCGAGAGTGGAGAAATTCATGACCTGCGGCTGAGGTTGTCGGGGACTGCGGTTAATGGAGGGTGGTTGTAGGTTGAGGTTGATGTTGTTGTTGTTGCTGCTTCCCAATCTGCTATATCCGTTGTTTCTGCTACTGAAATTGAGGTTGAAATTGCTGGTTTCACGAAGAGCGTGTTCTAATTCATGGAGAGATAGCGCGCCGTCTCTGGTCTTGTAACCGGCGGCGGACGGAATCCGGTCGGTCATCAGGCTCCGGACGCCGATCCTGAAGTTCGAATCTGCAGTAGCGTCTCCGAGAAACTCGAAACTGTCGTTCACCAGGCTTGAATTAGGGTAACGTTTAATGCCGAATTGAGCAGGATGAATATTGCCGCCGCCGCCGCCGCCGCCGGCAACTGGTGAAATGGCGAAAGGATTGTTACCGCCGCCGCCGCCGCCGTGGAATCTACCGGTAACCGGTAGGAGATCAAAGGGATTGGAATGGATCCCATTCGCGTTGGTAGTTAGATTATTAGGGTTTACCTGGAAGTGTTTTCCGATCACCGGAGCAGAAGTTACGTGGAACAAACCGTAGCTGTCGGACGGCGAGAGCAATGCGGAACCCGGCAGCAGATTGCGGTTGTTCACGGTGGGAAACAGCCGATCTCCATTCCATCCATCCATATTGCAACAGAAATTAAATAAACCCAAAGAAATTCAAAGAGGTGAAAAAATATAGGGTTTTGAAGTATATGCAGTATAGTAGTAGGGTTTAAGAGAGGAGGATGGAGATGAAACCAAACAAACGGAGAGTTTGTTCCATGGATCACGGCAACAAGATTTTAGAGAGTGGGGTAGGCATTGAATCTGATCACAATACAACTCTTCGGCTAATATTTAGGCTTTTTAAATTGTTTATCTGATCTTCCTAGGTAGTAAGGGTAAATAATAATAAGTTACTTCTGCAAGTGCTATAATATTACAAAATTAAATTTTTTTAGAGTGCATTTCGTGGTGCAGTGTGGATAATATTGTGTGTAGCCTGTCTCATCCAGCTGAGAGAGTTCAAATGGTCGACTAATCAATATATATTTAATCCAGCAACAAAATCTTTTATTATATGATTTTTCTATATACATAATGATTGATACTTGATCCTCTAAACAAATTGGTCACCTTTTATTATTATCTTATTAATTAACATATTTTAATATACAACTTGCTGAATAGAAACCTAAACCGTAATAATTAGCTTATTATTTAAAAGCTTATAGCTTATCATCATGATCAAAATAATAGCTTATTTTTAAAAGAGGAGTACGGTGAATCTCAACAGAGTAATGATGTTCCTATTGGCACCATTTTGCAAATCTTTGAGGGTTCCACTGTCACGGAGAAGCCGCCAGAGGAACAAAATGGTGTATCGTCCTTCTATGAAGGAGAAGGAACCCCGCTATGGAACAAAATTGGCCATTGTTGTCTACCAAGGAGAAGGAACCCCGCTAAGGAACAAAATTGCCATTGTGGTCTATGAAACGCCTTTCGAAAATAAGTTGGTAGATTCTAAATTTTTTTTTTTCATCTTTATTTTTATTATTTTAAATAAATGGCATCCTTTACCCCTTCTAATTAAAACTTTTTTGACATTTTCTCTTTCTCCTATTTTTTATTCATCTTGTGACTCTTCACCACCAAGCATCTTCTTCGACAACTTATTGTTACAAAATGAGCCATGAGGTTATTTATACTCATTCCACCTTCACAACGGAAGGTGGGGATCTACTCGATTGTATGATATTATTATATTTTTAAAATCCTTCCTAAAATTCTATACAATCATATGAGTTCTATAATGTTTTATAATATTCTATAAATCTCTACCCTTCTAATATTAATATTAGGTTATGCTGACTCTTTGTCTAAGATGGATTTTACCAAGAGCAATAGTCACCGGAAGGTTTTTTTTGTAAATCAAATAGCCTTTAGGAACTTAGCATTTTCCTAAATAATTTGGATGACAACAACAAAAATGGAATTGTAAATGGTCCTTAAAGGCAATATAATGCTAGTTTCTAATTCCCAAATTTCACAAGAACTGCTAAATACATATAATTGAATGGCAAATTAAAAACCTGAAATTGTATACAAGAGATTATTGCATCTTCAATCTCTATTCTTAGCTTTGTACAGAAAATAACATACACAAAAATCCTACAAAAAAAGGCTATCAAATTCTTCTATGCACTTGGTAATTTCATCTCCTTCAGTAATCCCTCAAGTGCATCATGTATTCTTCCATCTTGAAAATTTGTTGCAGATCCTGCAAGGAATTCATGCACATTTCCTTCAATGTTGATCCAGCTACAACCGGGCTGCTTAGTTACCCCGCTTTCCTTCATGGAAGATCTCAGCCCTGAAACATTGTTCCAATGATGATCTATGGCAAATGCATTGGACAGCATCACATAGCCAGCAGAGCTATGTGGATCCACCTGAACAAGCATGGAAGAGATGAAATTGGCGAGTTCTAGTTTGTTATGAAGCAGGCAGCCAGCGAGCAGAGCCCCCCACACGAAATTGTTTGGTTCGAAAGGCATTGAGGTAACTACTTCAAGCGCTTCTTCAATGCAACCCGTTCGAGCAAGGAGGTCAATGTAGCAAGCATAGTGGTCTAGTTTCGGGGCAATGGAGAAGCGCTGGCTCATCTCCTTGAACATCTCCCGGCCTTTCTGCAATAGTCCTGAGTGGCTGCAAGCACATAGGATGCCGAGGAATGTGCCTGCATTTGGTTGCAGGTTGAGCTCTAGCATCGTGGCAAAAAGTCTCATCGCGTTCTCCCCTTCACCATTCGCCGCTAGGCCCATGATCATGGCATTGAATGAGACGACATCTTTTGCAACCATCTCATTAAACACTTCCCTCGCCCTCTCCAAACTCCCACATTTGGAGTACATATCTATCAACGCGGTTGCAAGATTTTTGTTTGAAAGTAACCCAACTCCCTCTCGCTGGCTCGATTTCATGTGCTCATGGACCGAAACACCGAGGTCCAAATCACCAACTTGAGCACAAGCTGAGAGCATACTAACCATTGTAACATGGTTGGGACTACACTTGTGCTGCTCTGTCATCAACCGAAAACGACTTAGAGCCTCCAAAGCACATCCATTTTGGACATAGGCACCAATTATGGTATTCCAAGAAAGCACACTTCTCTTCCCATCAACAGATATCTGATCAAACATCTCCCTACTCTTATCAACCTCTCCACATTTACCATACAAATAAACAAGAACAGTTTTCACAGAGTCAAAGCTAAAATCTTTCAGATCATAATGGTTAACTGTATCTGATAATTTCCTGATCCAATTCTCAACCTGTACAAAATCAAGATTAGAACAAGCAGATAGTACACTAACCATAGTATCCTTCTCAGGTCTCAAATTCCCCTTAACCATTGACAAGAATATTGACAGAGCTTTCTCAGATTGACCCGACTTGGCATATCCCGAAATCAAACAAGTCCAGCAAGAAATCACATCCTTTTGAGGCATTTCATCAAACAATTTACAAGCAGAGTCGAAATCTTTCAGGCTCTTAGCGTACACGCTCAACAAGCCATTACAGACAAAAGAATTAACTAAAAATCCAAACTTTACAACGTGGGCATGAACCTGCTGAACATAACTTGAATCACTGGCGCGGGCACAAGCTTTAAGGAGAAAAGAAAACGTCAAGTCATTGGGAGAGAGGAACTTTAACTTAATCAAATTTTTATACACCAAAAACGCATCAGAATATAAACCCTCTTCAGACAACACTCGGATAATGGCGTTGAAAGGGAAAAGATTGGGCTTCTGCAGGTGATGGAAAACGTGGAGAGCTAGCTTGGACGGGTACTGGCCGACAAGGCGAGTAGCTACGAGGTTGTCTTGGTGTGCGCCAAGACGAAAAACGCGAGCGTGGATTTGGACGAGATGAGAGGTGGGAATACGACCTTGTAAAAGCTGGGAGAGAGGGGCGAAATCTGAATTGGGTGAAAGCGAGTGCATGAAATGATAGAGAAATGGCAAGAGAGAAGAAACATGCACTCTCCAGTTGGGGAAATGAGAATGCTGGGAAATGTGCATCATCCTTTGTGGCCTTGCTTCGACAACTACCACATTTGTCCGTAATTAACTAATTTTAACGAATCCATGGGAAACAAAAAAATGGATTTTTCACATTTTTTGTCACACTAACATGATTCCACTACGATTTTCAAACCTTATAAATTTGGTCCACAACTTTTTTTTTTTAAGCACAAATGGTCCTTCCTTCTCAATTTTCGTCCATTTGTGAGGATTTTTTTCCCTTTATAGTAGGGTTGAGCCGTGGATGAGATTTAGCCGGAAGAACCATTTATACTATAAAAAAAATGATAATCGTGGACCAAATTTACAAGATTCGAAAGTCGTGAAACAATCCTATGAGTGGCAACAATACTCGTGAGATCAACACTGCGAAAAATTCAGAAGAATGTTACATTTTCACCCTAAAAAAATGTTGCTCTCGGAAATGAGTAATCTAGTAGGTTCCAACTCAACCCATGAATGACAAATTATTATGTGAATCATGATCCACAAAGTGTTGTGGACTATAACAAAAAAATACATTTTTAATATACTAAAAATTATTCGTTTTTAATATATTAAAAGTACATTATTTATATATTAAATATACTTTATTTGATAATAATCATAGTATGATCCACACAATTATGTACAGCTATGTAGATCACAGTCCACACAATAATAATTCCATGAATCATCATGAGCTCATACGCCATATATTTATTGAATGTATCTTAAATAAATAAAAAAAAATTGCATAATATTTATTTAATTTTCTTCTAGAGCATCAATTTAGTTGTGTCAAGCGGGCCGCCCCACGTGGTGAGTCAGCGCAGCATCTATAAACAATTCTTAACGGGCCAACCCACTTCAGCTGACTGGGCCCGTCCCACGAGAAATTTATTGTTTTTATTTCTTAATGGGCCAACCTAATCCATGGGCATTTTATATCTAAAATTGCACGGTTGGTCCTAAAGGAGTGGAAGATCACGTGGAAGGATGGCATGTGAGTGTAACATGATGTCTTTTGTTGTTAGTACAATGATTCCAAATAATATATTAAAGGTTTATCATGATAGATAATATTTTTATTGCTTAATCCAAGATCCATATATATATATATATATATATATATATATATATATATATATATATATATATATACTTATTGTCACGGCATTTGTATGGAAAATGCACTACAACAAACTTTCAGATTATCCACAAAGTTCACCAACAAATTCCATCTTGTCGGAAAATTCAGAATTGATCCAAATACATTGTATCACTTTTGGATTTCGACACAATTAATTTAGTAATCCCAACATAAACTGTTGGACTTGAGTTTATAATGGATAATGAAAATATGAATAAATTAAATACTAGGAAGGGATGAAGAGTTTTTTGTCACTCGGGGTGAGCTAAAAGTAGAGTACGTGTTATTACAATTGTTGATTTTATTTCCCACCAGAGTAGTCAAGCGGAGGGTTAATATAATCGGAAAATTAAATAAAAGATAAATAATGGATGGAGAAGAAAAATAAAGGGACACAATGATCTTTACGTGGAAGGTAAAAAGTACGGACCTTTTTGTATGGTGTCAAGCCGAAATTCACTATACTTTGGCCACCTCGGTCCGACATAGTATTTGGGAGGATGTAAATCATGGTGACTCAATGGGTTCAGCGGACAGGACCAAATACCAGTGCCCACTTTGAACATATTTCCCACACTACCGCCGAAGTTCGAACCTTGATCTCTTCTCTCAAATACTGCCCACTGAAATCAT